TCAAATCTAAATATGTATATCAAACAATAATAGTTATAATAAAAAGTTATATTATTTTTTTTTCATACCAAGTATTATTGAATGTTCAATTATTATTATTTCAATAATAAAGTTATTATTTTGAATATAATTATACTTAAAGTATTATTTTAATATTATTATTATCATTTAATAATATTTTTCTTTAACGATAAATCATTTAAAAAACTAAATTAAACTAAATTCTTATTATTCAAAGTATTTAATTAATTTTGTTCTTAGTAATGATAAAAACTGATAGAATAATGATAGAAATTATGTTGACACTATTGTGTGAATTAATTTATCTTATTCTACATTGTACATCTTAACACAGGTCAAGTCATATTTAACTTAGAGTTTCATGAAAGGTAATGTTGAATATAACGAAATGGAATAAATAAAGGTCTAAGTATAGAAACTATCGATCTATTGTAAACTCACCACCTACCTGTGGCATGTACAATTCACATGATGTCACCTGAGAAATTTTATTTCAAATCAGGACATTATGGATCTATCGTTTCAACTTTTCACGAAACATCTGTGAAGTTTGAACAATCATGTATTTATATAAATTTATCTGACTAGTATTATCTCTCTTAATAACAAGAAAAAAAGTGAATTAAATTAATTTTCTGTATCATTCAAGGATTAATTTTAACTCATTCATGACCCTCGAACGTTTGAATATTTTATCTCTCAACGTTTTTAAATTTACACTCGACTGTGCTATAATTATAACCTTTCTTATATCTCATTTTTTAAATTCATTCTTCTTTCTTAAGACTTTCAATCTGTCATTGGTTTTCTAATGTTATATATTCATTCATTAATGTCTAATTGAAAGACTTGAAAATAATTTAAGACCAAAAGAATAATTTTATTCAAATTGTAATGCGAATCATTTAGACAATAGTGTTAAGAAGTCAAGAGAATTACCGAGTATTTTCTCGCAATTAAAATTTATTATTGATGAAGAAGGTGTAATGAAAGAGAATGACAATGTTGTTATGACTCGATTAGAATGTAAATTCATAATATAAAGTGGTTGCTTGTTAAATTTTAGTAATGAATCTCAGACGTCGAGCACAACAATGTTAGGTCGGGTATCAAGTGTATGTAATGCGTCGTATGACATCAAGGTAAAAGTCTATTTACCTTTTCCTTCATACACGAGTATGCATTGCGGTATATAAAACCTATTAGCTTACTTGTATTCATGGTACTTCATGTACTCTGTTATTGCAATTTATGCCGTCATAACCGACTTATCGTTTATGATGGGATGTGATATCATTATTATACTAACGAACTGAGTACCTGACTAGAGACTTTAATTATTAACATTGATTCGTTTATTTTATTTTATATCACACTCCAAAGTCTTTTATTTTATTTTATTTATCATTTAATTTTATTCTAAAAGTTATTATTTGTTTAATTATTTATTTATAATAACATACAGACCTAATAGTATTAACTATTGCGATAGGATCACAATGTGCCAAAGATGGCATTACAAAAAAAATGTTAACAACTTTATTTTATTAAATAATGCACAATAGACTAGATGGAAATCATGTGAAGAATAATTAAAGGCCACATTCAGAGAAGAGACTAAGTTAAAATAACAAGTTAAATAAATATAGTATCAATTAAATGATAAAGAAAAAACATTCTCTTATTATAATGGCATTGGAAATTATTATTTTATTTAACAATCATTGCAAATCTAAACATTTAAATGAATGTTTTTATTCAAAATATTTAATTAAATGTACTTTTTTAATTTGCAGTGTATGCTGGATATTTTTTTTTCTAATTTTATTGGTCCAGTTGTTTGTTTAGAGAATATTGTTATGACTTTTGAAGTAAATGAGTGCAAAACTAAGGGTAATAGTTTGTATTTCGCTTTAAAATTTCTTCATTCTGTAGTATGAATATTGTACAACTTTGTATCTAACCCCGGAACTCTCGGATATTGGAAACATCATATACATATACATATATACTTTCGAAACTAAAGCCCTGTCGGAAATAATTATTCATTATATCATCTTAGATAACAATTTGTGTATTATACTGATTATTATTATTGATTTAAAAATTAGATGTGTTATTTACTATTATTATTATCATTCTAAATGACATGTCGTCAGTATTTACGGATACTTATTATCAGAATTTAAAAGATAAAAATGCAAATTGAATTGAATTATTAAAAAAAGCATTTAGTAGAAACGTCAGTGGTATTTGGAAAGTTCTTTTTTTTTATTGTAAAATCTTGAAATTTTTAACAAATGACCAAATCATAAGAAAATACGCTCAACCAGTTCCATTAATCTACGAGTCAGTTTCTCAAAAAAAAAACATGGTAAAAATGACTACATCTCTCTTTTTCTTCATCTAGAGAAATAGAGTGGAAAATTTTTGATTTTGGATCATATTCAAATAACTGCATTTTTCCCGAAAAATGAACGTTTTGATGAATCAGTAGATTTTTTAAAGCTAAGAACAATTCATTTCCATATTATTAATCAGTTTTTTTGTATCTCTTTGCTGCATGAATTATATTGCAGATAATATAAAATATTAAAAATAGCTAAAAGAGCTCATATCACTGATATTACCCAGAGATTGACTAAAAAAAAACTTTTCTTTACTTTTTTTTTTCTTTTTTAATTTTAAATAGAAAAATTTTCAGCTATAAATAATGTTTAACATTTATAAAAAGCCATATTCATAAAATGTAACATTTATATTTATTTTTAACAGTATGTGTCGACGTAAAAATTTAATAAAGTCAAAGAAAAATGATTGAGAAAAATGTTAAACATAAATATAAAAAAATACAGACGATTAAAGAAAAATCATATAATGAAGATAAAATATTGTTGAATAAAAAAAATTATATTTAATAATTTATCTATATTTTATTTATAGTGAAGAGAAAACTAGATTATAAAATATATAACATTAATAAACTTTTAAAGAGTTTTTCTTTTTATTTTAAAAATTTTTCTGGATACTGTTCAAATCACATGGCTTTATCTTCATATCTATCCATTTTTAAATTTCCACAAATATGTCACAATGTCCTAATTTAAAAAAAAATATCTATTTATTAAATAAATTACATACAAATACATTATAAATTAAATAGAGCATCTCAAGAATGAATAAAAGAAAAAACTATAAATCAAGTTAAAAATAAGGTATCACTTCAATAATATTTCATATAACCTCTTCTTAAGTTTTATAATTGAGAAAAAGTGAATCATAAAACAAATGGAATTCCCAGTTTATTTCAGTTATAAGTAAACACATTTTGCTCATTGCGTGACCATTTGCCATTTTAGAGTCATTTATTATTATTTTCAGGGGATTAACAGTTATTACTTTTAGCACTTTCTGCACTTATAACTGTCTAAACTCCATCGATATCAATTTCCATGTGTTTTTTTTGCCAAAGTTATTCTAAATATAGAGTATAAGACTTTTGCGAAGAGTCAAATAGATGAAATATTCACGATAGCAGAAATATATATTACCAGAAATAGCATCATATAAATTTTTAATTAACATCAAATTCAGAGGAATAATAACTTCAAAAACACCAAATTTATCTTCAAAAACTTTCCAAATAACTCACTCAAAAGCTGAAATATTTAATTATCGCCATAACAAAAGAACTTTTTCACATTAAAAATGATGATAATAATTATGGTAAATGAATTAATGACTCTACAGTCTCTAGAGCTTACAAAATTAAACATTTATGTAATAATAATAGCAAATAATGATGGTTATTCATAATCACAACACCCTGAGGAATTTATTTTAATCTCTTTAGCAGCGCAACTCCAAATACTTAGTGTATTTATTATCAAAATAAAGTAAAAAATCATCTTTATTTATTAATCGCGTAAACTGATGAATATGACAATCAATATCAAGAAAAAAAAAAGTCTTTTGATTCAATACATAGATATGTATTAAATTAAATATCATAAATTATTTATAATACTTAGGGTTTACTCAAATCAATCATATTTAATTATTAATTCCACTTAATATGAAACGATTATATACTCATATTTTTCATTTTTATTTCAGCCTAATTTACTAAGGTGGAAAAAAGAGTTTTTCATTTTTCATTTTATTTATTATAAGTTTATTTTTCACGGACCAAAAATCACAAATGATTGTTTTGATTGATAATCAAATGAAAAAAACGGTTAAAAAATAATTAAAAATTTCAATAAATTGAATTCATGTGAGATTAATGAAATTTCTTTTTGATATCAATCCTCATAATCTGATGAAGATAATATTCTACCTTTACATTGTGGTTCTAGAGAAGTAAAAAAAATAATAAATCACCATTAATTACGAACGCATACTAAATAATTAATCCAAAACTCAGCAATAAATAAATTTATATTTTTCATATTAAAGACATAAAAGAATTAAAATTCATATTTTCATGTTATCCGCCCACCAAAAGCAGACAAGATTAACTGGAATGAAATTTGCTGTATTTAACACGAAATATATTAAAGAATTAATGGGGTATTTAATATTCAATTAGACATAATTCACTTACGAAAATAACGCAAATGTGTCATAAGTCATTTACAAGCCAACGATAAATGACATAAATTACGTACATAATATTTATAATGAATACTAAATAGATTTAGCAGCAATCAATCAACCATTTAATAATCCTTTAGAAGTTATAAAGTAACAATAAAACTGATTGAGAGATAGATGCCAGTTGACTCTCTTGTATTACCACCTGTTGCGCATGACAAATATTGCGCGCATTAAGAATGAATGAAATTACATAATCCAACACTCTTAATTTAAGAAATTAAATGACCTCTCAATTTCGATAGTACTTAAATATTTTTGATATTATAAAAAATTATCATTAATCATTTAATAAATGGTGATTTTATTTTTGCTTTTAACAGAATGTCCGTCGTCGGAGGATGGTATGGAGAGGTTTGCTTGTCCAACACCCGACAGAATGGGCAGGTATCGTTGCATTGACGATCATGTACTCTGTGATGGATTTATTGATTGTCCAACGGGAGAGGATGAGGATCGGCAAGCTTGCATGTTCTACAAAACCGTGAGTAACACTACTAGTTACTAAATGTCTGACCACTAAAAGACCTCTATCACGTGCTCTCTTTGTTTCGTTTACTCTACTATACATACACGAGTGTACTGAGCTTTTAAATATACTCTGTCCAGTCTCATTCTGACACAGCTATAGATTTAATTAAATGCTCTTGAATTTAATCATAAATTTAGAAATTATTTTTGTTTTATCAGTTAAAAAATGCTAAACTTTTTACTCGTTTTGTGTGTTCATGTATACATACCCTTCTATTATATTAGTAGTCACGCAAATATTAATATTTTTTTTCTACTTTTATTTCAGACAAAAGCACATTTAGATGTGCTAGCAGAGGCTTTATTACGATGGGTCAGAGGCCGCTAAAGATTTTATGTTATTTCATTCTTGCCTATATATTTTCATCTCACCATCATTTATTCAAACTCGACTCATTAATAATTGAATGATAAGAAAAAAGAAGATAAATAAACAAGAGGAGTCAAATTCAACGTATCAATAAATATTTTATTGTGAAGAGTGTACTCCTATGTCCGGTAATATTTCTTATCTTCCTTCTCTATACTTTGTTGTATATTTTAAATGGAAGAATACTAAACAAACATACAGACATATATACACACATATATATATAGATATATATAAATGAAAGAGGAGAAAAGGAAAAAACTTAAAATATGCTCTCTACCCTCGCTATTGCCCAGTAAAAAATTATAAAAGATAAAATATTTGACAACTGAATTTAATAGACAACCAAAGATAATCGAGTTATATGGAAAAAGAAACAAATGATTTATATATTTGATTTTCATGAATTTCAATATAGTATAAATAAATAGCATATATCATAGTACATGTCAATTCTATCAATATCTATCTGGTCCTTTCAACGACTTTTCAGTCATACTCATTTATGACAAAAAAAGGGAATGAAAAAAAATAAGAAAGAGCGAGAGAGAGTGAGAAAGAGGTATAAAAAAAAAGACAGAATTTAATTAGAAGTATTTATTTTATAATTAAGAAAGAAACTTGATGGTATGAATAATTATATAATATTAAGAAAAAAAATGTAAAAAAAAAAAAAAAAATAAAAGAGATGACGAAAAGTCGTTGAGTCACTTAAATAGAATAAACTCATTATTTAATTAACTAAACTGAGTACAGTAAAGTAAATGTATGTGTATAGTCTCTGGTATTATTGCCAGAAAATAACTTCGTTGGTCAGACTATTTACTTCAGCAGTTTATTTTTATAGTAACTTAATAAAAAAAAATAGTAGTCTTATACAAAAAACAAAAAAAAAAATAAATAAAAATACCAAATAATCATAATAATATAATAATAATAATAAAGATAATTCATGTCAATGAATTACTATACAAGTCTAAATGTTAAATGGAATAAAAAAAAAAAAATGGAAATGGATGAATAATAAAAATATAATCGGGCTGGCCGAACACCGTTATACTTTAGTAAAAATTATTTTCTAATATTAGTGATAAATGATGATAATAAAAAAAGAAACAAAATGTTTGATAATTTTTTGAATTAATACTCAGATTTTTCAATTGTAAAGTGTTGTTTATAATTATAAATGTAAAATTGATATTTTTAGTTACAATTACAAAACTGAAAGTTTTTTATAATTAACATTGTTCTTCATTTATCTAAGTAGTAATCAATCATTAATCTCTATTAGTACATAACATATTTAGTTACGTAGTTTATTTAAATTATTATTAATGGATTGATGCAAAAGATGTTTATAATTATTTATAACTCAATTAGTTTTAATAATTAATTACAATCAACTAAGTACAGCTACTTTTAGCAATATTCAAATTATTTACGGGAAATCAAAAAATTGCAATAAATTACATTACAAATAAGATTAGTTGATAATAGAATATAATTATAAATTGATTGTTTTTTTAAATTTCAATAATTTAATATAAAAAATGAAATAATAATAAAAATGATTGAAAAAATAAATTTGCAATAAAGTCATTTAGTTGTTCTAAATGAATTACAACAATCAATTGCAATGAATTTATGGCAAAACTTAATTACGACAACTTAATAGCATCAGTAAATTGAAATATCTCTTGAAGATAGCACAAAACTTCTGCATCAATCCAATACTTTGACTGCATTCCTGAGGTACTATCGACTAGCTAGAGTATCCAACTCATTTTCTTTCTCGATAATATTCTCAAAAGCCATACTATCAGGTCAGCCAGATAAGTTTTCGAATTTATCAGTATATAATTCTCAAGATGAAATTACCAAAGATACGATGCGCACGGTTAAATAAACGAATTTCTTTTAGAGTTTCAACACTCGAATATTCGATCGACTCGTTAGATTTGGCAGTTGGCTAAATTTTACCGATTGGTTAAAACGTTTTACTTGAAACGTAGTAGAATCGGCCGTTGGCGAGTTACCAAACCTCTCCCAGCCATAATATTCGTGAACTCGGGGGAGCGAGAACCCATCAATTTCTTTCTTCTCTTATGTAACTGCATCCCAGGCAAAGCCAACGACCGAGACTGCACTTTCGATCGTACATTTTTTTTATCCATTTTGTTATTTTTTTTAACTTTCCTACTTTTCTGTCTATTTTTCTCTGTCATTCTGTACCTCAATAATATTATCCTCAACTTTCGTTGTATTTTTCTGCCATATTCAGCACACGACAATCTGCACGAAACGTTACGATCACAAATATCATTTCTTCAGTCAACAATCCCAATTTCAATTGAGCTTTATAAGCACATCGTGCACTTTGCTGCAGTGACCATCAATTTTTATTCGTTTATCATTCTCGCGCATACACTAGTGCATATCCAATTGAATCTAATTTCCCTTCTCCCATTTTTACTTATTTCCAAATTTACTTAGTATGCTTTTCTGTTACTAAAAATTTCAGACTATTGAACTTTTTGGTCGATCAATAATTACGAGACTATAGAAAAGTAATTGAACTTTTTTTGCTTTTATTTCCAGATATTTTCTAAGGTATCATTTACATTTTAAATAAAACATTTATTTCAATTGATTCATAAATATAAAACTCATTTTAAAAATAAATAAATTTCTATTTAATGGTTATATTGGATTCATATTTATTTTTTTTCTTTCTACTTTAACTACTTATAATTTCATTTAATATTTTATCTTCAGCTAAAACATTTAATATGAAAAATTTATAATTAATTTCATAAGCTTTCACGTCAAAGTGACGTTATTGCACGTAAATGTAAATGAGTTTTCAGTGTATATATTAAATACTTGAAAAGAACAATAAGAAATACATCTTGAATTTGATTTTAATTATTAGCCAGTTAAATAACCAACTATACTTTGTTTAGTAAAAATTCATTTAAATGAATAAATTTTGAAGATAAAAAAGAATAATAATTCAACAAAAAGCATTTTGTTTTATAAAGAAGAAATGGTTTTTAGACTATAATCCGATAAAACTGGTTATTATTTAAAAAAAAAAATAATAATTTTATTAACAAAAATAGAGCAATGAAAAAGAAGTAATAGATAAAAATAAATATTATTTATTGTGTTGAAAGCTTTAAACCACTCATTTAGTTTATAAGTAGAAGAAATCATGAATTATACCGATCGGGCAAATATCCTGGCCTTATGTAGACGAATCAAATAAATAATTTACATAGCGTGCTTGCAAAGTCCGAAGCGCTACAGACTAGATATATAGTAGACACAAGCGGATCTAGTAATGACATTTAGAAATGGGAATAATGAAAGAAGGTTGATAAAAAAAGAATTTGCAAATCAATGAAAACTATAGCGTCTCACAATCGGGTTAATGACCGCTCTTTTGTTTACTTTTTCTTCGGACTTGATTACTTTTTTTGCTCTTCAACACAACATATACACACGCACACTTCACATAAGCTCATTTTATTCATTCTCATAATCATCATAATGTTAAGCCTAGAGAAAACAAGTAACTATTTCTCAAGTTAAGTAAATAAGTAATTGAAAAAAAAAGTATAAACAATTTTTTTGCATGGCCTACTATTCCATATTCGATTGGTTCGTCGCAAGTTATTACGTCAATTCATGTTAAAGGTCACTCTCAAAGTACGTATACACCAGCTTTTGCAGTTACGATCAATTAAAGAAGGCCGCGGCTAATTTTGTCCATAATTGCAATCGATTTGATCTGCATTGGACAGCATTTATAGAAACAATCAATATATATTTCATCGTAAATAGAATGATTTACCGAAATCACTTTGATATATATATATATATTCCTTTTTTTTTTCGTTCTTTCGTGCTGAAAAGCTTACATAACTCTTGTGTGAAATCAATAGTATGCAATTCTTGGTAAATTGCATAGAGCAGTCAAGTTTTTTTTTATTTAATGTACAAATACAAGAGTTTTATAATAAAAAATCCAAAATTTTTTTTTCGTTCCTAGTGAGAGATATTTTTTTGACACATTTCTTGCCCTCTAGGTCATTGACTTCTTTTTTTATTCTACAGCTTCATTGAAGTACATTTTCCTTGATAAAATATGAGTTTTCCAAGAGATTCAAATTTTTCAGGATAAAAATTCTAGTTAGTAAAAGATAAATTGAATGTTCAAATTATTCAATATTCATAATAATGTCTATATTGGTATATAAAAATAATTAATTCATTACTAATTGTAACACATAAAAGATTGATGAATTAACGAAAAAAAAAAATTATAATTATTATCGTATGAAAATATTAAAAATTTTATTATATATATTATATCTGAATGTTCAGTGGCATATTAGCATAAATATTAATCATTATATAGTCTAATATTTAATGAGTATATAATTATCTAGACAGACTTGGGTCCAGGAGGCTGGAATTGATGGGTAAGGTTTGATGAATTTGAGAGAAAAATATTGATTTTAAAATTAAATAAAATTTTTTAATAATATAAATATCCAGTGATAAAAAACGGGCGATAAGCAGGACAATAATAAGATGAAAAAAATCCTGCTCATCCTGAGCCACCCGGATTTTATGCTTATGGAAATGAGAATTTGATTAATTGGTCTAGTATTATTGCTACCTCTTCTAATGACCTTCCCTCGATACCATGGACCTACATCTGGGAATATTATTCACCTCATGTGTGTTCTAAATTCAAGTTAAATATTAGATGTAATTTTTGCAAATATCTATTAAAATTTGAATCTATGGAAAAACCATCATTTATTAAGGGAAACCATTTTTTTATCAATATTTTATTTTTTTATTTATAATTAATTAATTGAATAAATATGTCTAATTAAAATAACTAATAAGTGATTATTGGATTGGAATAATTGTCATTACTGTTATTGTTGCGTGTTCAATTATTTACTCTTCTCTAAAATCAAAAGCTAAAAAATTCATTGTTTTCACCAGCAGTAGGAAATTAATGAAGCAGTTACTTTTCAACAATATTTTTTCCCAATTACATACTTAACAATTAATAACATGTAGTCTTTCGTGCCATAAATTATTAAAAAGTGATTCCTTATTTGGTAATAGTTGTTTAACTTCTGCATCTAGGAGGAACGTTCAAAGAATCTTTGAAACCTGACAAACTTATTTTAATAATAAATTCATTTTAATTTAAAATGTATAGTGCTGACTTTAGAGTAGGCAACTGTTGATTAGTACCTAGAACTTCTAAAAACGATCTACCTATAGCTAAAAATGATTTTCTACTAGTCAAAAGACTTGAATGTGTTGAACTTATGTAGGTTGACTATATTTACTTAACCAATGCATTTGTTTTTTTTCAATTTAATCTTCAAATTAAGTTTTCTAACAAAACTTTTCATGCTATTTAAAACATTGTAGAAAATCTATTGGATTTAATTACTTTGATTTTTTTTTTTTTTCAAAGTAAAAGTACTCATTATAAATATGCAGTTGTATTATTAAGTAAATCATAAAGAAGAACTACTAACAAAAAGTTATAAAACCTTGAATGTTCAACTCCCGCTAACGTCAAAGTATTTTCTTTTCATTCAATTTACTTTTCTATAGTATGATCCTAGTCAATACAAAAAAATTATCTGATTACTGCTGAGTAATTGACTTTCTTCGTTATTTTATTTTTATATTTTTTCGTACAATAATTTTAACAAGAGTCGTTAGAAAAAAAGTCATCGAAAGAAATTTAATATTCTTTAATGGTCTTGTAAATTTAACAAGTTGTTGCAGAATTGTATAACAAAATCAACAAAAAAAACCAATATTAATTATCAAATGAATGTCAACTCAATGCTATGATATAACATAAATGAGCATAAAAATAAAAATGGAAAATATGTTGATGGAAATCAAAACGACTACAGAAATGGATATATATAAAATGAAAAAACAAAGATGATAAAAAATGAAGTAATAATAATATATAAATCGAATATATAAAAAAACATTTCTCTACTACTCGTGAAATGAATAAAGAAAGTCTAAAAATTTGATTGAAACTCGA